TATATATATATACTATAATTATAATACAGTGCATCTTTAAATTCATATCAGAGTATAAAGATTAGAATACAACCAATCAGAACGAAGAAAACTGAGAACTAAAATTATCTTATTCCTAGAATAAGATAACTCTAATCTCTATTTCATGGTCTTTAATGCATCTAAGTTTCATTCATCAAATTTTTTGACTTTAAAATAAAAAACATGCCCCACTTTAAACACTTCACTGCTTTTACCTCAACAGGAGAATCTTAAATCGTTTTAAATCTGGTTTTACGCACAAAAAGACAGTAAATGTTTTTTTCATTGACTTGAAATAAAAATAATATTTTAAATACGTTCGGAATACGCTCTTTTTATCCACACTTGCTGCAATTAAAAATGGATATGTCGTCGTTCAAAATGCACCTTCTGCACTCGATTCTTTCTTTTGTTGTTTACACGTAAAGAATGAAAGATGCGGATTATCGAGACGACTGTACTCACTAATGTGAATCTTGATGGTCTCCACTTGATTGTCGGAGTCGGTATAGGTCTTAATGATGAATTCGAGCGCTTCACCAAGGAGGAAGCCCATCTGCAAAAATTACGAAACGTCATTACTCATTATTGGCAAGCGTATATACGCAGAGGTTATACGACAGTAGAAGCAAGTCTGTCTTCCGGAGACAGCTTTTCTGCGCAACGGAAAATTATAAAACTTTATTGACAAATCGATATATAATTCGTTTTACCTGCTCGCCGACACTGCGTACATTTTCGTAGAACAGCAACGAAAGCGCCGCACCCGAAATAGTAACGAGCAAGTCGCCATCCGCCATGTTTACGACAGTCTCTGACGTTAGCCGTGGTTAGCCATCTGCCGTGCATGCGTCAATCTGCAAAGTGCAACGTTGCATTTAGAAAATTGAGAATGCTTATATATGTATAGAATTTAATACATGCGTATAATTTTTATCATGTTTAATATAAAATGTATATTTAAATACAAATTGTCCTCTAATTTAAGCATTGCGATATCTCATAATTTTTTCCAAGTAAAAAAAAGAATTGTCAGAAGTGGGATTCGAACCCACGCCCACAGAAGTGGACTGCGACCTGAACGCAGCGCCTTAGACCGCTCGGCCATCCTGACCTCGTATCGTACTGTCGGTGATTAGAGCTCGATGAGACTTAAAATTCGAATTGTGAAATCGAATGATTCAAAATAGAGCAACTTTGATGTATTTAACAAATGCAACAATCGGCTTCAGGAAAGTATCGGAATTTAAAAACTATAAATAGTTTCACAGAAATACGAGTCAAATAAATTGAGGATATTATATGTGGAAATTATAATGAAATTTTCTAAATAAACTTGAAGAAACGAAAACAATGTCTCGAATCGAACAAAGAATCCTTTAAAAATACAAACAAGATCAATCGCGTTTTTTTACTTAAAAAAAGTGACATAACTCAAAGAATTAAATTTTTCAAAAAAGAGAAAAACTATTTCAACTTAACAGAAAAGTTATATATTTCAACTTAATAGAAAATTATTAACTAATCAAATAATATTGGCAAAAAGAATATATTTAGAAATAAAATCAAATATCATTTTTTATCATTGTTTGATAATCTTTAAAAGCCTTTCTAAATCGATTTTGATATCCTACAAAATATAATTAATTTAATGGATTCAGAATAATTCATCAAAAGTGATGTAACTCAAAATATCATCAAGTTAATTTATATTTATCTTGATCGATTCAAATGATTAAATTCAAAATAAAACAACTTTTTCTATAAACTTGAAACACACTAACTCTAAATAATCTTTGTAGAAAACTCCTTTTTATTTACAAGAACGACACAATTCACTTTTGTAAAGTGTTACGATTGTTGTAAAGTATTTTTTTTGAAAATCTTGAAAATGACGCTGCAAGTGCTATTTGATGGACTAACTATTAAGTTAGTAAGTTAATTTACTTTCAATGATTGATACAGTAATCTTTATATATATTTACTCATTCATAGTAACTTAAAAATATTTTTCGAAGGAAATGCAATAATCTGAATTATATATAACTAGAATGAGCATCTCCGCTGTGAAGCATAAAAAATCGTGGCACTAATTGATTAGCACTATTTTAATTTGGTCAATATAAGAGCGAATCAAAAGCTTTCAGGTGCTCATACGCACTTACGTTTTTAGTGAGACGCATATGTCAGCAATTTTATCCCGTGCGGAATTGTATTTGAAAGATTATTTTGAAAGATTATAAGATCGCGTGACTGTAAAATGTGCAAAGCATCAACATAAAATGCCTGGGTATGGGCAGAGAAGTAAAAAAGGCATTTCATAGATAGGAAATTTTGTTAAATGTATCAATTCCTGCACATATGTTAACGATGTAGTATATGAAAAGTGTTATTAATGTTATTTTGTTAAACTAATAATATTATACTAATAAATTTTAAATGGCATTATTTTTGTTATATTCATGTCCATATAGATTTCCATACTTCAATAATACATTGATCGATACATCGATCACAACGCGCGCGCGAACGTTTCTGATTCGCTCAAATATTGTCCCAACTAAAATGGCTGATCAATTGCGGCCACGAATTTTCCTTGATGCTCATTCAGTGTATATATATATGTGTGTGTGTAAAGTTCAGCGTCAATAGTCTTGTTTCAATGAAATATATACTGCCAGTTATCAATACAGTATACGTATAGTAACGAGAACTATAGATTTTCAATACTGCATAGAGCTTAAACCACTAGAGGGGAAATGGCCTATTCAAGCAATGATTGAAAAGTGAGCAAGATCTGAAGATATATTTTTGTCCTGCTCGGTAATTTTTCTTCTTTCTGAGCATTCCTCCAAAAGAGGATAGAAGAGGATAGAAAAATTCTGTCTTTTACATCTTGCTCGACGTATTCTCCCCCCCCCTTTCCCTAGTAGTTTAAGTTTTATGAAAAATATCAATCATGAAACTTTATCTCTAGAATGGAAAGTGAAAATTGAAAATTTTAATTATTAAAGGTAATGGAGAAATTTTTCACTTTTCATCCTAGGAAAAAAGTGATTGATACTCAGTACTGGCAGTCATATATGAACATTCCCATCTGACCAAAATCGTATTTCTAAGTCTAAGGAAGCGTTTATATTGGCTGTAACCAATATTGGCGTTTATATGCCGTAATCTGTAAGAATTGATTAATCGCAGTTGAATATTCCCCTCTTATTCCATTGTAAGAAGGAAATATTCGAAGATGATTGATCAATTTTTACCGATTATGGCATATGTTGTACAGTTATACGGCCAATATGCTCCCTAAGTCACATGATCAAAATTGATATTCGTCAATTTCTATTACGTGACTTATTTTGATGCCGAAAATGAGTGTCGAGTATAAAAAGACACCTTTAAGCCCGATCCATAAGACACGAGTCTGTAAGACACAGGTTGCAAGCTTGTTGTATCAGCCAATTCGATGCTTCAATTTTTAAAATGACGCTTCAAGAAGCTGAAGCTCGATCTACATAAGATGCAGAACGCAGGTCATAAGTCGCAAATGAAACATATTTCAGATTGTAATGCATGGTCTACAATGAGCAGTAGCAATAATGAATTAAGGAATAGAAATCGACTAATCATAGTTGAATGTGAGAAAAAAAATCAATGATTGGTCGATTTCTACGCCTATTCCTTAATCAACTACTGTTACTGCCCAGTATAGACCATGTATAAAATCTATTCTACAATAATCGTAAGCGTAATTGTGATTCTAATTGTAAGAATTGACCAATCACAATCAAAGATCCTTACATTCGACTTGGTTGGTCAATTCTTACAACTACAACCACTTACAACTACGTTTACGACTATTGTAGAATAGGTTTAATAGATCGCAGACTGCAATACGTAGGATGCAAGACACAGGACGCGAAAGTTGAAGTTCAACTTTCTGTGTCCTGCGTTCTGCGTTCAACAACCATATTATAATTAAAATACGTTAGATTAGGTTAGGTTAGGTTAAGTTAGGTTAGTTTCTAATTTTGTGATCTATGATCCGCGTTCTGCATCTTATGTATGAATTTTAAGATTTTAGGATTAAGATACCGAAGTATAAACCAGGCATAATGCAAACTTGCGATTTGTGACTCGCGTTTATGTCTTATAGTCTACAATAGGCAGTAGCAGTAATAGATTAAGGATTTAGAAATCGACTAATCATAGTTGAATATGAGAAAAATAATCAACTATAATTGATCGATTTCTACATCTACTCCTTAATCTACTACCGCATTGTAGACGAATCTTTAGGGTGCAACATCTCGAGTTGCCGCTAAATGCTTCGAAGCATTTGATTGGCCAATCGGAAGAAAGAATTTTACTAATTGACCAATCAAAAAATACTTCGAAGTGGCAACTCGATCGCACCTTAAAATATGCATAAATGTATATATCCTTTAAATATTCATTTTAAAATTAATTTATATGATATTCATTTTACATTCATTTTAAAATTCGAAGACAGCTTGGTTTAGATCGATCTCAAATTTTTAAAACGTTAATTTTCGTACTTCGCAAAATTAGATTCGGATATCAGATTTAATTCAGAATATTCATGAGAGAATATATTAAAAAACTAAGATAAACTTCCGTTCTTCATTTACTAGACTTCGTAAATTCATTAGATTAGATGAATCTCTAGATTATCTCTGAAGCGATTTGTTGCAATCTTAAACTAAGACCTTTCCTATTGCATACTTGAGTTTTGGAATGTATGAATCAGAAAACACATAATTTTCAGACCGGTAAAGACGGCGCCAGAATTATATGAGTCGTGTTTATGGATTTATCTCTTGTAAATATTCATTAAGCTCTTATTAATATTCATTTCATCATATCGTTCTCGCGCCTCGAAGCAGTGGCGAGGAGTTCCGAACAACCTAATTAGAATAGAGTAAGTGAACACTGTCACGCAAGATACTTGGTTCCATCTCTACACATTGACTCGCCCAAAATACTCCGCGAAAATTACGCATGCAGTCAAAGCATACCTACAGAGTCACACACAGGAAGACAAGAGATACATACATATTTGAAGATTGGCTATATTTGCAGCCGCGAACATCGGTGCAAATGATGTAAGCCCACAGTGATCCCGAGAGTGTCGTGATTGCTTGCCACTAATCACGATACGCCTCCATCGATATTTATTGTATCTCGTTATCGTATTTCTACCGTTTCTTCATCTTTTTTTTTCGCGAACAATGACCGAACAAGTCTGGGACTATGTCGGGGAAAAATGGGAGCACATTGACCAATCGGTGAGTCGATGATCCCTCCCTCCTTTCGCGGCATCCTTGACCTTCGTTGCGTAAGTACATAAATTTTTTTGTGCAAAACTATTCATTCATCCTTAACATACCCCGTGTCATGAACTCGAATAACCCGATGTTTTATATGACGAAACGCACGTAAATTCGATATCATTCATAACATGGGAGAATATCTGATTTCTTAACGCAAAACAGGATGTATTTCTAAGCAGAATTATTTTCAAGCAGTTTTTGATAATATCGTATTTCTGCCGTACTCCAAAAAGTTAATCTGCGGAAAAGAAATCTTCGAAATCGATATCGTTATCCAATTCGATTGACGATAATAAGATCATGCTCAACTGCAGACATGAATTATTAAATTTAATCTTCGTATTCTCAAATATATTTTACATAACATTTTTATTTTTATTACTTGCATATAGACTCTCACAGCGATTCGTCATTGTCACAATGAAAAAACCGCTGACAAGACCAAAAAGGAACAATTAAGTTGTGAAATATGCGGACAGATCAATTCTCTTTCTTGAAATCGATCTGTAATTTTTCTTATAGCTATCTACATATATGAGAAAAATTTTAGAGTGCTAAACAAGGGTTTCCTATTAAAAAAAAAATATTTTTAAAAATACATATTTTATTGTTATAAAGATACGACAATTTATGGTCAGTTCAAAGATATACAAAGATATATAACAGTTTATGTAGAACTGTTCAAAGATATGATTTATTAGACAGTTTTATTGGACAATTTGTTTTCAATGTGTGACGTGGCGTGACATACACATTCGTATGTTTTCCTCTTGTTGTTTGAGGAAATCAAACTATTCTATTTCTAACTTTTCTACTGCTAAATTGTTCTGTATTTCCATCAACATGAAAATAGGAGATTCTCTCTTGAGAATTTTTTAATATCTCTAATATTTTGAATGTTAAATGAAAAAGTATATTTTATGCTTAAAATAATAATGCGAAATTTTGCGAGATATTTGAATTTCGTGCCAGGAAATTACGACGAAACAATGTTTGCTCGTAAACGTAGAATGACCCTATAGAAAACAAAATGGCGGGATGTTTGAATTTTCCTCCTGAGTAGGTACATTTCAAGGTCAGATATTTAGAGAACCGTAAAAATTTTTCCAATAATTAATTATTAAATATAAATAGCTTCGTGCGAAATTGCTTGCACCTAACATCAAATTCAACGTAATTTATTCGACGCCTTCTGCTTCTTCAGAAGAGATCAATTTCAGTAATAAAAATATGTTAGGGAAATCTTCTGCTTCTGAGAAATCTATTTTCAGAACTTTCGCCCAGGCGGGAACATGACATTGAACTTCCCATTTCTCATCTTTTCGTTTTTCTAATTCCCTTGAAGTGTTCTTTTGTCCTCTATTAGTTCTAATACGATATTATGTTATGTTTTGTTTTTCTTTTTTTCGTAACCTCTTTCGTAAACTCTTAAAATCTTGGTGAATAGGGATGATTTTCGGCTGGCGTATTCATTGATTTTCAGTTCTCATGCGCATTATATTTCGGAAGACGAATACCTTCAGATGGCGCCAATAACGCATTGGATAAAATTATTTTGCCAAGTGTTTATTCAGGGTCAGATGTCTCTTGATATTGTTCTTGGACAGTCAATAATCGCGCAGCAATCGTGTGCAAGGATCAGTCCCGAAATTATCATTTTACTAGAAAAGTGTAAGAGAGAGGTCAGAGTTAAAGATAAGGTCAAGGTCAAAGGAAATATCAAGGTGAGCTGAACAACATGAAGACAAAAAACAGATCGTTATTCAGCAGAATATGCAAGTGTTATAGCAAGAAAGAAACATTAGATATACGGAGATATTCGAGAAGGGATTCTGAAACGTCTTATCGGGATCCAGAAATGTACTTAAATCCGACAGACGAGGTAATTTACGTTTTCTTCTTGTATAAGATTTTTCATGATAAAAATGCATCATTATTCAGATGTTATTATTTCGATGATTCTTGGAAATTTTTAATTTTCCTCGCACAATTATGAATTTCTTATTACCGTGAATTTAATTATCAAAATAATTAAAAGAGGAGAATAGTTGTATTGTTAGTGAGTTATAGAAGTGCATTTAATGTTTCTTATTAGTTGTAATTAATTTCCTGTTTATTGTATATTTGGATTTTTTCTAATGAAGACTTTATTGCGAATAATTAAAGAAATAATTTATGTTGATAATTTTATTCTTTCATTATATAAATTTCATTATATAAGATATCTGAGGAAAAAATATATTACAGAATATTATTATTTCAGTAATCATATCTAATTTTTATTACATTTGTATTACATATAATAAAATGTTAATTTAAAAAAATATATTAATTTAAAAAGTTCTTTTAAGATTAATTAGAGCTGTCTTGCTCTTGTTTATCTTTTTTACGATATTTTGATAAAATTATTGAAAATTTTTAAGATAGTTCTCTTTAGTAAAGTGAAAATTTGCGATGTCTTACCAGGGCCCACCCAAAATTACAAATATCTGCATAATTTGGCTAAAATATTAAAACTATATTTTAATAAAATAGTATGGAATATACAATAGTAAATCAAGAGCTGTATCTTTATCGAACGAAAACAAGATGAGATTATGTTTACTTTTCGAGGTTAAATTTTATATGCAATTATTTTTATATGCAAGTTTATGCATGTAAATATCCTTTCAGAATGGCGGTTGACCTATTACTTTATTGTGATCATTAAAAGCATAACGTTTTAAAACTATTATATTCTCGATTTTGAGAAAAGTCTATGATAAGATTTGTGTGCAGTTAATCAAAGAAGTTCGCGTCTGCGAACTTTATATGTCACAAGTTATACATGAACAGTTATATTTTCAATATTTTTTTTCTCTTATTTCACCATTAACCTACCATAGAATTTTGCCCACATCAATTTCGGGGTACTTCAACTTCATTAAAAAATTAGACATTTTTATGGTAACTCGATTTACTAAAGAACCATTTTAAGAAAATTAAAAACCTAATGAAAAATACAACAAAATAAAAATTTATAGAGAAATATAACTAGGTTTCTCTTTTTGTCTTGATTATCGATTTCCGCGAGTAGCATGTTTAGTTTGAAAATAACCTCAGCGCCTGTCATTACGCTGCTCACAGTTCATATGTCATCATATATTTAATTTCTGAGCTTCACAAGAATTATTTATATTTTTAAAGAAAGTATTTGTTTCTGTTTACTAATGGAACCAGGATATGTGCCCGGTGCAAATTTGGTAATTTTCATATGATCATTAATCAACAAACATAATCATATCAAGCAGGTTATAAAAACAGCGTGCATACATTTGATTATGTACTTAAATTAAAAATGTAATACATTATATAAAATAAAACATTTATTAAAAATAAATTAAAATTTTACGATGTTGAAAAATATGTAGCTAAAACTATAATCGAAAATAATTTAAAACTTCACAATTGTCAATAATTCGAAATTTTTTATCAAATATATGTATATTGCTTACGTAAGAAATTATATCAATCAGCTAGCACAATCTTGGCACAATGATTCCAGCCAGTTACGGTGTTCATTCGAAGACCTTGTTGCAAGAGTAACGAAGTGGAAATGTGCACCCCAGAAATATCTAAACAGGCAATCCAATCTTTTTATATTATACTAAATTAATTTAATCAAATTAATAAAAATCAAATTAATAATCAAATAATTTAATTAATAATAATAGAATCAAAAAGTACAAAAGTATAGGGAAAGATTGAAAGAGAAAAATAATTGCGAAAGAATAATATGAAATATTAGATATATTATAAATAAGATAATATTACCTTCTTTCAAAATATATATTTTCATTTGTCATAAATGTTTGCAATTTTTCAAATTTTTATTTCATAGAGTCATAATAAATCAAGAAAGATTCATATTATTTACAAAATTATTCTATATTTTTATATAATGCGACAAGAACAGTCTGTTTTCTCTTAATAACTTTTTCATTTAAAAGAGAATCATATTCTCGAAAAAAAAAAAAAAAAAAATTAAAATGTCTTCTCATTTTATAACATAAAAAGCTATTGAATTATTTTAATTTAATACGATTTTAATTTTTTCTGAGATCCTTGAATTATTGATATGAATACCAGTAGTATTGATATAAATACCAATTCATTCAGAGATGAAATGAGAATCGATATTTTAAAATGTACTGAATTCATCCTTGAAATTCTCGGTCCTATATATTACATTGTACTTTGTAAAAATATTTCAAATGCAACAACCCAATGTTGCCGGAATTTAAAATCTTCATTAAGATTAAAGATATCTAAATTCTTGTTTCAAGAAACATAACAGAAATATGACAGTGACTCATTAGGAAAAAATGTATGCTGTTAGCAAAAGAACTGTGCGAGTAAGCTATTCTTCTTTTTCTCCTGTTTTTGTCACCGGATACGTTTTGATAAATGCATACCACTGGAATTGGATTAGTGAATATGGAACATGTTTTGTATTGTTTACGTAATTTAATGCAACGCGAAACTTTTAATCGAAATACGTTATTGATGAGTAGTTAATACGTTGCTAAATAATAATAGCGCGTTTGACGTACTGTGTGACGTCATCACGTTGAATATTAATAACGCGTTATGAATGTTACCTCATTCCGTTCATCAAAGAGGATCTTACAGTGAAAAAGAATTCTCGATTTGTCACATTGTAACATTATTGCACTTTTCTCTCTTCTTTTAGAAGAAATCTTAGTTTACGGAAACGTTTCCAAGATTCAGGAATTTTTCTTAAATAAAGTACCTTTACTT